ACACACACACACACTCACTCACACTCACCCACTCACCCACTCACCCCCACCCACCCACATACTCACCCACACACCCAACCACACACCCACCCACACACCCACCCACACACCCACCCACACACCCACCTACACACCCACCCACGCACACCCGCACCCGCACCCGCACCCGCACCCGCACCCGCACACCCACGCACACCCGCACGCACGCACGCACGCACGCACGCACGCACGCACGCACGCACGCACGCACCGATGCACGCACCCAGGCACGCACACACGCACGCACACACGCACACGCAGACAGAGCATTTAGCCAACATCCACATGCAACAGGGCTCCTCCTTACTGCAGCCGCAACTATGGGCTTGTAGCTGATTGTAAGTGCCACCGCCATCTGCAACCGCGGAAACACTTATCTTTCATGTAGTCTGCAGCGAGACATTTTCCAGACCCATGGCAGGAGCATGAGAGATGTCTGGACTGCTGTTCGCGTTTGGAGAGACTCCGGTGAAGAGGTGGCTGCCATCCCTCTCGAAAAGGCTTCTGATGTGAAGGCCCTGAAGCAGCGCCTACTAAAGCAGTGTCAAATGCCGCGTTTCCGACAAAGACTGTTCCACAGGGGTTCTTTCATGAAGGATGCCATGAGGCTGACGTCGCCAATCGACGTGAAACTGACTTTGGTGCCGTTTGTCTCCGCCTCAAAGCAGCAGGTCCGCGACCTCGCAGAGGCTTCGCAGAAGGGTTGGCTTTCCAAAGTTGAAGACATACTAAAACGCCCGCAGGACCCAGATGGGCTGGCGTCTGATGGGTACAGAGCTCTCCACTATGCATCTGCAAACGGTCACACTGAAGTCGTGCGCCTACTCTTGGAGGCAGGTGCCAAAATCAACAAGCGCACAGACGACCGGGTGACGGCACTCTGTTGTGCTGCCAATGGCGGTCATGCTGAGACTGCACGCTTGTTGCTGGAGGAAGGTGCCGATGTGAATGAAGTGGATGAGAGCGACTCCAATGCCCTGAGTTGTGCATACTTCAATGGACACTTAAAGGCTGTTTGGTTGCTGCTGGAAGCTGGTGCCGACATGAGACGGGACGTTGTGAAATGTATTGCAATTGAAGCTGTGTTCATCACCCCCTTGCTTTGCGTCATGGCTGTCCTCTACATCGTCTCCTTGTTTTACAGCATGTACATTCCCCTTTTTTGGTTGGATGACCGGTATGCAGTCTTGGGGTGTTTTCTGTCCCCGATTGTGCTACTGATCCTGACATGGCTGTACTTGCGGACCAGGCCGATCATCTTTTGGAAGCCGATCCTTTGGGTGTATATACCGGCTTCCCAATTCTGGAAGCATGTAGTTTCACCTCACGCAGACAAGCTCGACTGAGGAAAACGGGCGTGAGCGCTCATCTCGATGCTAATGATCGCCCAGCTGAAGCTGCATGGGCCCACCTTTCGGTCTTTAATCTCAAAGGGGAGGACATTGAATTTGCAAGCCTAGGGAGCAATTCCTGTTACCTCGCACGGGGCGGGATGCTCGACGATTCCCGATTTTGCCATAGAAGCCTCCTAGCGTAAACTGCAACCTTGTTTGTTGACCCATACCTGCCCTGTGCGATGTAGGCAGGACAAACGCCTTGCAACGTGGAGACAACGAGAAGCTGAGCGTCTGAGCATGACTGAGCATGGTCTCCGAGTCCTCAAGATCCGACAGTGACGGCAGACCCACAGTCACAAAAGATTCAAGGCTGCGCAGTGGAAGAGGAAGAGGAGGAAGAGGTGATTCGACCAAGATGTGGACTCCCGACCTGGTGCGACTTCATTCTTGCGCAGAGCTTGGCTGAGCCTGGCTTGCGGCATTTAAGCTGGTGCGGTCTGCCTCTGGCCGAGTCGGTTAGCAGCGACGACGAAGCCCATCGCACACGCCAAAGGGGCGTGGCTGATTTGTAGAGTGTGTCGAGTCCCAGGGTTGTAGTTCTGTCGCGAAGTGCGAAATCCGATAAAAAGAACATCGCGCACTCCGTCTGGCTGTGGGCTAGGCCGTTGCAAAGTTTGCCTGAAACTTCCTGCATGTCTCTGGGACCTTTGGACTTGGCGCCAGGAGGCGAAAGCCCGGGAGCAGGGTCTGACTTGGCCATTGAGACTCTGCTGCAGAGTTTGCTGCTCGTTCCATGGGCACGGTCCACAAAATTCAGGTTCAGGAAAATTTGGACGGTCTGTCTCTAGGGTCTCCAGGGGCTCGCGACTGAGTACTTGGAACCCATCTTCAACACCCGAGTCCAATGTGTCGGAAAAGGATTCAGAAGCATGGCTCCTTCGAGCAGGATTCCCCTTGAAGACAAATCTGGCAAGCACAGAGTAGCCCTTTCCATCGCGCACTTGTCACGATCGATTATAAGCACTTGGATCACTTCAAGGACAGAGTGCCTCGCCTGGACATTCCGAGTATCTTATGATGTTGGAATTGGGGTTCGTGAAGTGCAATTCTGAAGCCAAGGTCATGCGTGATGTTTATTGATTTGCAATTTTCTTTGTCGCCACGACAGTGTCAGTGTGTTCGCGTGCGTTTGGGCTGAGGGTGATGCGTTAGGCTCGACGGGGCGAGGACACTGCGTGAGGTGGTGAACGAACAGCCCTAGCCTGCCACGACCTGAAGGTTCAGAGTCGGCTTACAAACTAGGGCTATAGGCTGTAAGAGCACCAGGAATAATTATCGCGGAATGGTGAAAGGCTGCACTGTGAGATCATGAATAGCCGGGGTTGCGAACGAAAACAGAAGTCATTTCATGTGCCGCTCAGGGACTGGCCTACGTTGTGCTTCCTGGGCCTGGGGCCAGCTTCCATCGACCTCTTCGTCTCCATGGCGGATCCCTCAAAGACTGCCCCAGGGTGAAGGGATGGTCGGGATGGTGTTGAAAGTGCCGAAGCAGAGAGCTGCCAAGTGACTTACGGGCGACAGCGGCGAATTGCGAATTGGGGATTTGCAAGAACCCGGGCTTCACAAGCACTGACAGAAGCAAGCTCTAGTTGCAACCCAGCAGATTCGGGTCTGGCTGTGTCTTTATGGCTTTCTCTTTGGCGGCGCCAATCTCCTTGCAGGTTTCAGTCTTACGCACCTCTGGAACATTCAAACCGTTCAAAGCCAATGCGCGAGTTCAGAAAGCGAGACGCAGCCGCTTTCGCTTTTGGATTTCAGGCGAAGGTCTTTCCAGAGCTGCGGTTGGTGGTCTTGGAACTGGATGAGCCCCTCTACCTCGATCTGGCTGCCAGGGAGCTGGGCTTGCAGGCGGATGGTTGCTACTGGCTACCAAAATCTACCAAATAAGCATGGTGGGCCTAGTACGCAGATTAGTGGCAGTGTGCACTTTCAACTGGCTTGCTGTCGTTTGCCGTTGACACCAAGCCTCCAAACGTTCACAACCTGTCCAAAGCCTGCACCGGAGAGCGGTCGGCTTGGTCAAGGGAGACTTGTTCCCGAGCGTGAAATTGCTGGCAGGCCAGCGAGATAGACGTGTCGCGGCTCGAGGATTTCATGGAGAGCCGTGGCACTGACCGCCGCAAGTGCGATGCTCTGCACTGGTCGCTGGACACACCGCACTTCTCTTTCTACAGGTGTGCGCCCTAGAGTCATGGCGACGCCATGATCAACCGAAGTCATGCAAGAATCGTTCATAGTGGCTGGAGTGAAAGGATAAGTGCACAAGAGCAGGATGGGTGATTGGCAATTTCACAAAAAAACCAGGAGTAGCAGTAGCAATATTGTATGCAGAAGGCTACGGCTTCAGCGCCGAATCGCGCAGTTGACAGCTTCAGACATCGTCCTAGTGGGTATGAATATGCAGCAGCAACATATTCATACTAGTAGCAGCCGTCGTCGAGGAGCCGTGGCATTTGCAGTAGCAGCAGCAGCAGGAGGAGGAGGAGTAGTAGTAGTAGTAGTAGTAGTAGTAGTATAGTAGTAGTATAGTCGTCGTCGTAG